ATGCACTCACACCCCGTGAATCTGCATTTCAGGGTTTCTTTTGCATCTAACACCTATTGAGGTATTTCTTCTGTAAATTTGTCTGGTTTCAGTTTTAACCCATGCAGACTTTTTAACATCCAAAACATTGTATAGCAAGTGTGCTTAACCTTCATTCAAACCTGACACCACCCCATTCGATGCCCCCAAGTTCTGGAAGGAGAAGAGGTAAAACAGTGGGTCCCCACCTGGTGTCTCCATGAACTCATGATCTTGTACACCTTCGTCATAGCCCCCTCTTTTCCAGACTGAGGAGCCCCCTAATATATTTAGTCATTCCTTGTCTGATGTATACCTTTGTATACTTTTTTTTTAATCCATGTTGCCACCTAAACCATTCTCTAGGATTCAGGTATCATTTTTTACATGAGGGGAAATGGGGGGTGTACCAAATTTGCAGCGCATTGAAGGTGCAGCTGAATCACAGTTTGCTACAACAGCATACTGACATGACTTTGTTTTCTATTTCCTTCTAACAATTTCTAGAATTTTAACTGCTTTTTGATCATCTGTGAAGTACTGAGTTGATATTTTAGGGAGCTATGTATTTTAATAAAAAAATCTCGGTCCTGAGGGGTAATCTCAGTCAGCTCAGAGTCTATTCATGTATATATGAAGGTGGATTTGGTTTCACTTTGAACACCACTTCCTCTACACTGAACTTGATCTGCCATTTTGCTTTCTGGACAGGCAGTCTAAGAAAGTATATCTGCAGTTCTTTAAAGCAGAGGTTAGTTTCTAACTATCCAGAATAACTTTGCATTATTGGCAAATATTGTTGCCTTGGTTTTTACCTAGAGGCAGCTAGAGGCAATGGTTAGCACACCTTGAAACCAGAACTCACCATGTCTGAAACAGTCTTAGCAGATGTCAGGATGGCAGAAATGACAGAAGCAACATGAAATCGCTGCAGAGGCCCCTCATTACGGAGACAGGGACATGGGCTGTCTCTGAGAAACACTGGTTTAACAAGGGAACCTAACTACCAGCAGCACCTCTCTGGAGCAGATAACGAGCACACAGGGGAAAGAGAAAAAAAAAGAGTACAGCCAAGAAACCCTGCTACTTCACTTTCTGAGCCTAATTTTAGCAATGTTCTATTTATCTGTGATAAAATACGATTTCAGGAACAAGCTTCCTGGGAAAAAGGAGGGGAGCTCTGTGTGAAAAAGGATTAACCCTCCCCTCCAAGCAAGCGTGTTTCCAGTAAACACTCGCAGAAGGAGGTGGGAGAGGGAGGAGAGACCACCCTGGTTGGAGCGGCTGTGCTGGGAGTCAAGCGGGGGGCAGCGATGGCCGGGGCAGCCCCGCCTGCGGGCAGCCCGGGGAGTAGGGGGGCTGGGGAGGGTCCCGGGCGGGAGCAGCCGGAGGGGCTGGGGAGCGTGGAGCCCTGCTGCTTCTGGGGTCCTCTTCACTCAGAGCGTTGTTCTCCCAGGGCAGCTCTTTTCGTGCCCTCTAAATTAACACTTGTCTCACCGCAACAGCTGAAAAGCATTAGCTGGGAAGTGTTCAGAAAAATAGCTTTCTGTTAGAAGAACCCAGAATTACGATTTAATGGGGGTTTTTGCATTGATTTGCATTAGATTTCATGCCTTCCAAGGGGGATGAAAACAATGCCAGAATGAAAAAGATGGACATTTTTAGAACAAAATTATTATTTTTGTTATTTGAAACATCTTTTCATTTTGAAATATACTTTATTAAAATGAAGGGGTCAGCTGAAAACAAATTGACTTACTTCATATTTTATCAAGTTTTTCCTTCACATTTTAATTTCTATCCTTTCATTTGCAGCTGAATGAATCTCAGACATTTTCTAGGTGGAAAAAGCTGTAGTCTAACTAGTTCTGTAGTTGTATCAAATGCATAATACTGGTCTTAAATGCAGCGTGTGTGTGTGTGTGTGTGTGCACGTGCACACACGCATGCTGGGGGGCTTTACCAGTAGCTACTGAGTAGACTTGTTTTAGTCGTGTTAGTAAGTCCTTACAATAGGTGGTGTTTTTTTTTTTTCTGGGACTTGCTATTTGTTCAGAATAGCAAAAGGCTGGTTTTGTTTTTCTACAAATCATTCTTTTTCTAGCTGCTCCGACTGAGGCTCATCCTGTCCCAAATTCCTGTCGTCATTCTTATCAAGGTCAACTTCCTCTTCACATTATTAATCTAAAATCTTGTACATCCACGGATACAATGGAAAAGAGCACCTCAGCACGGGTTTTCTTTTTGTAACAGCTGGACTTGCTTCTTCAAGTGAAAGAGTTGTAAGCTGCATTTCTCAGTGCCCAGTTCAGAAGGACATATGGAAAAATCTTTTGATTCTAGGAAAATTCTTGTAACGCCTTTTGTCTCGTTCCAGGTGAAATTAATGCTTAACTAGTGGGGTCTTGCCCGCAAGCAGATCTGCACCTACCCTCCAGGTGGACTGACCTCCCCTGGAGGCCCATTACTTCGGTTTGTGAAACCAAGGAAGTTATTCTGACTTTACGGTTGAACCAGTCTTCTTACATGTTTGTGAAGTGTCACACAGCTCAGTGGCACCACATAAATCATTAATAGTACTAATACTTAGCAGAGCAGCAGCCTGAGAAGTAGCACTGTGACTGGGCATGTACAGCTTACAAGCAGTTTTTGGCTGAAAACAAATTTTAGTGGGTAGGAAGGAACCAGGTCTGCAAAATCAAGCATAGCTCCGAAGGAGGCTCTGACGGGTGAGCTCTGGTACAGAGTCACACCAGCCATTGCACTGATTTTCTCTTGCTATTATTTACTGTTGCTCTTGTAATACTACAGGTCCACTACAAGTCTTATTTCTGGATGGGGAAGGTCCTGTAATCCAGTCCAAGTGTCCTACAGCAACCAGCAGTGTGAGGGCTTTACTGTTCAATCTACACTAATCTACAATCTATACGTGCCATAAATGTCTGCGTGATTCTTTAAGTGTTGGCTGTGGATTAAGTGAAAAATATTTGCTGAGTTTATAAAAAATATATGATATTTTCATAGGATTAGAAAGGTAGAAGTTTTCAGGTTTTATGATGAAATTAAGGAGCCTTAGTGAGGCAGATTATAGATTTAACTCATTTGTAATCAGGTACATCACCCTGGGTAGTCAACTAGTCAGTTCTGAGAAAAC